AAAGCATGGCGGGCTTCTAAAACAAAAGGATATCTTCAAAAAAATGTTTATTCTGTGAATATATTTTACACAGCTTGAATAATTTTATGCAGAAAGAAATTTTGGAGGCAAATTCATTAGAGTCTAGCCTTCTTGTTTTCCGACTGACACGCTACTAATGATTTCTTTTGGTTTTTATCTGGAACAAATTGTTCTATTCGTTCGACCATATTCACGAAGAAAGCTTTTTGTAATCTTAATCTCTAGATATACCTTAAATTTATTATTTTGGGAGTAATGAATGTCTGATTGTATTTCAATGAGATAAATTTATTAAAAACTAAGTTAAAATATTTTTAAAGATTTTTCGCTAAACTTTTGCCTGTGAAGTAACAATTGCAATAAAATAATTTACTAAAAAAAGTATGTTTAATTTTTCAATGGTACCGCTGAATGTAGGCAACATATTTTTTTCCGATTAGTGTCACAAAAATGTTGACGATCTCATTTATAATAACATTTTTCACATCCGAAAACACTGCCTTTATTTGGCTGACGCAAATATATAATAAACTCACTGCAATCGACTACTGCTTTTGAAACCGCCTAATATTATTAGGAATGTTCCATTTATATGGTTAAACATATTTTATACTAATTTAAAAAACGTGTTCCCGAAAAAAGTTAGTATACATAAATTATATTTTCGGCAGGTGCAAATCTGTATATATATGAGATGTGTTAAAAAAATATTGTGATTTTGAAAAAAAATGTATTCATTTGTCTACAATAACGGTGTCGCCTTCAAAATAGTCCACATTCGACATTATTCAATTATGCCATTGCTTCTTCCAATCGTCGAACCCTTTTTGAGATAGCCTTTAGCTCCTTCAGCGATTTTCATCTATCTTGTAATACGACTACAGTTCAAGGAAATAGGTCCAAATCGTACGCCGGAACATTTTTACAACATTGTTTTTGGCCAAGTATTCTCGAAAAAATTCTTTGATCCATTTCTTTTAACAAATTAAGTTCGCCACGGTCAAAAAAACACGTCTAACCTTAGCGACTGCTACAGACAAAGGAAGAAATGAGTAAATCCCAAAATATTATCGTACTTCAGGGGCCTGTACAATATCAACATAATGAAAAAAAATTGACAATTTGACTCTCCTAACCCGCAAAGTTTTTTTTTTAAATAACGTTTTTTTTTAGAAATAAAACACTTGCTTATAAATTAAGTGGCACATTTCGAACACCACTAAACATATAAGAACCGTTTCAGAAAAATGTACCGTTATATTGTGTGTAAAGTTTTTATTTTTCTAATGCTTGTACTTTAAAGAATTGAGGGAGGAAAACCCCCTCTCTTTTCTTTCTTTTCTATTTTTTCTTTTAGTAAATGTATAAAGGTGTTCCACTGACAATATTACTATTATTTATGGAACTCGTATCTTAAATAAATAATTACCTAAATAAATATTACTTTATTAAGCGTATTAATTTCTTTACTTTTCTTATACAGAGTTGAAGAAGTTTAGTCTTTATCATTGGGTCATCAATCAGAAACACTAATTATCTGCGAAATTACCGAAAGCTCAATAAAATAGGACTCTCGACTTTATCTTAGCTCTATTTGTGTATGTAGACTTGTTTATGGAGATATAACTGCGATGTTTAAATCAAACAATGCCAAACAATAGCAGAAAAGTAGCCATAAGAGATTGATTAACTAACCAAACACTAAACATAGCGGAAGTAAAAGTAAATTATATATCTACAATCGTATATTATATTAAATCCTTGCAAATGTATTAGCTTATGGAAAACATTTTTGTTGTGGTTCTTTGCTGAAGATATCATCATTTAAATCACACGACTTAATAATAAATCGCTTGGATTTAGAAATGCACTAGAAAGCAAATTAACTCATTTTGCTATAAACACACATATGCCCTCAAATATAAGGCTGCTGGCGTAACTTGATAGCATTAAACACGCTACAAATGTAAAACGCTATTAAATTATCAATAACTGAATCTAGACACTTTCCGCTGGCGCTGTGAATTTCATGCCGGCGATGTCATTCGCCTAATGCAAACAATCAATCTTGCGGCAGACCAACGAAAAGAAAGGAACGATAGCTCAAAATACCAACTATACAACCCCAGATGTCGGCAGGTGGGTCTAAAAGTAGCATGGAGCGGACGATATGAATTATATTTAAATAGCTAACTATATAGCAAGCCTAAGAGGAAATATAATAATTCTTAATTTACTTGATATCCAATAGTTGGCAAAATAGTTGGGGCCAAGTTCCAGTTAAGTTCCTGGCCGTGACGTTTTGACGTTTTAGTTGCCTAATTAATATTTTACATGTAGCATGAACTGAAGTAGCTCTCATTTCGATAGAGGTGACCAGCAGGAAAATGCCTCACATATAACTTTACCTAAATGCCTTAATGGATTATTTATTTAGCTATCTTAATTAGAATCAAATATTGTTTTTCTCTCAGGGCAGGGTGGAAGCCATTTCATAAAATAATACCATACTATTTATGTAGTAATGGACTGACCATTAGTGCTCGCTTGAATAAATAAAATGTACTCCAACTTCAACTTTTAGAAATGAGAGTACTTATTCAAGTCAGGACCGCACGGAAATGGTGAGAAGTATAAATTTCCTCTTATTATTAAATTGTCAAGCGTCAATATATTCTCGTATTGTAATTCACGTAACTTTTTACGAAATTAATTCCATTTCTGTATTCTGATATCACGCTAAGCACCTGAACACAAGTTCAAGTTGAGAAATTAATGAAATTTATAGGAAACACAATGATTTCGAATCTCCAACCGCACAGGATCGTATTTTCATTATATTGTCTAGCTATGAAACGAAATTGTTTTCTTGCGTAGTTACTAAAAAGCGGAGCTTTAAGTACCATCGAACACGCGGCGATTTAGAACGTGCACCAATCCTTATACAACGACTGTTTGGGTGAAAGACTCTCCGTTAATTGAAACCGACTTTTTATCACACCATTTTATACCTATAAGAATTGTGATCTCAAAATTGGCACTTGGAAAGAGCTCACTGCACATAGCTTACAACGGTCCTTGTAACGGACATATTTTGGCAAAAATTTTAATATTAACTAGATTTTCCAAATGCAAGAAATCAGAAGGTTGAAGGGTGGTGAACTGAAAATATTACCTTTTTACAAAAAGTTCAGGGACTATATTAAAAGAAAAATCACTTGTTTTTCACTGTCACGATAAAGATTTATGTTAAAAAATCTAGATAAAATAATTTTTGTTATTAAAACAATCAAATGGCATTACAGTCAAGATTCACAATCCATGTCATCTTATGAAAAATTAAACTTACCTTTTGCATTTGCCCTAAATTTTGCTCTTTGCTAAAGCTTGTTAGAATGTACTTGCGATACATAAGAATAATATGCTGCTGAAGACTTATGGATTTTTACAGACGGTTACACTAAAGCCATAATACTTTTTACAAAATATTTCTTGCAAGAACTCGATTTCGATCGTCCTTTTTGTATGACAGCTATATGCTATAGTTGCCCGATATCGGTTCCAAAAATGAGCAGCTTATTGAGCTTAAAAGGTCATGTGTAAAATTTCAGATCGATACCTCAACAGCTGAGGGACAAGTTCGCGTATATATGGACAGACGAACAGATAGTCACGGCTAAATTAACCCAGCTTGTCATGCTGCTCCTTTATTTAGATATTTTATAGGGCCTCCGACGTTTCCTTCTGGGTGTTACAAACTTCGTGGCAAACTTAATAACAAATAGACACAAACATACGTAATTTGTGCTCTATCCCAAAAAAGTTGCATAAATTATGTGTCTATCACTGTATTTCGTTGGCTTCTCATATATCCAACGAACTTATCAACATTTTCCCATTTTAAAGTTTTCTTGCTTTCCCACCTTTTCTTTTATTATATTTTTGTAATTCTCATTTTATTTTGCCATATTTTTTGCAGACTTTTATTTTGTTGATTGTATCTGCCAAAATGAAATTTTCTCCGGTCTTTACATGTAAACCGTATTAATGTTTTTGCTTAAGAAAACTGGATTGTCATCGACGTATCACGTTGCCTCCCACATGACAGCCCTTTGCTTTTGCTTGCACACCAGCAAATCCTTTTTCGACATTTGTGCGTGTTTAAAGGTTTTTAAATATAGATATTTATACTTTTCTACATCGTTCGTTAACATGTGAGTGTTAACTGTTTTTGAATGTACAATGCACGCATTTATTCAAATACACTAGGGTGTCCGTTATTTCTGTAGTTGTTTGTGCTTTTGTACACACCCTCTGAAGTTTCAGTTTTTATCCTAAAAATAAGGAGCTCTTTATATTTTGCATTAACCTTGAAGAAATTATATTCTAGAACAAAATTTTCCGCTCTACAAAACAGGTCTGGACAATTATTTTCATAAGAACATTCTTTCAAGAGCTATACGCAGTATATAATATATCATATGTCCTGAGAATGCATACAAGTGATTTATATATTCTGTTTTACTCATACGACATGGTGTACTATATGAATACACTACACTTGAATCTTAAGTTTAACTGCGTATAACCTTTAAAGTAATGTTTGTATGAAAAAGATCACTCTGACCTTTTTTATAGAGCGGAAATTTTGGTATTGGAATATCACTTTTTCAAAGTAGTATACTTATTTGCTTTAAAGATAAAAGCTTTGTTGCAAAGGATCAAACAAGTCTATATAAAAGTAAGGTGATTTAGGTAAGGTTTAAATTGAAAATAAAAATCATATTTACGTAGAATCCTTTTCCTAGGGCAAAAATTGAAACTTTAATTGTAAAAGCGGACACCCTAATAAATATACATATATGTGAATACGTTATTTTGTATCTATATTTTATAGAATTTCAATAGATACATATTTTGTTCGTTATGATATAACTTTTCAATGGCTTTGTGATTATTATTTGTTGAGTTTGATTTACCTTCTCTGATGTCTCTATTTACTGCAGCTCTAGCTTTTGTGAATGGTCCTTTGATTCACAGCTGTAAAATAAAGTTAAAGTCTTCTTTAAGCTTTCAATCGCAACCCTAAGTTAATTTATTAATGACAGTTACAATAGTTTTGAATTTAGAACTTTTATATTTTTATATATTAAGAAAGTTTTTGCCACACAACGTGTGTATATAACTTCAATACATTAAAAGGATTAATACCAAAAAATGGAATCATTATAAACTGTTTACGGATAGTATTAAATAAAATATATAGGTGAGAGGCCAGCATTCTAAATATTGTGAAACTCCATTTTTATTATCTCTTGTAGACGTTGACATAGACTAATCTATTATAAAATATTAACTGGCCGAGGACTATTCAGTGGGACAAATCATGACGGAGGGAGTTTCTAACAACATGGTTTTTTCTTTCTAACCACCAAGTGCATCTCAAAAAATATATATAATTAGGTAACTGTTTAATATCTCTAATAACATTATGCCCATAAAATACGCATCCAACGTTAACTTTGAACATATGTTTAGCGTCGAACCAATGAAGAAAATACCCTGACCTAGCCGTTGCTTTTTTCATGCACAATATACAATATTATGTAGCAACTCCATTTTACTTCGCTTATGATAGCCAATAACTTCGTCGTTTTTTGATATGTCGAAGAGATCGATTCAGCGATTTAGTATAAGCAAAATTGACAGCCTTAAACAAAAATATGTACAAAGTTGAAGAGTCACTTCGTATATAACTTCGAATGCTACCAATACTGTTTATACGGCTTAAGAAGACAACGATTTAATAATTTCATTGATTTTAGTCAGTTTTATACTACGCTTACACCTTTGCTTTCTATTGCTGAGTTTTTTAGCTCTGTCCATATTTCATGGACATAACAGAGTTTCACAACATTAACATAAATTTGTATTGGGTTTCATGATCACTTTCATATTTCAGTAATGTCCCCAGTCAGCAGGTTGAGTAAGTGGTTCCTCCCTTTAGAGAATTAACCGCAAATCCATTGGCATACACATTTTTGAGTTCTGAAAGCTGAATTAAGTCCGAAATTCAATGAAGGAAAATGTGCTGTGAAACTATGAAATGGCTGCAACGGTTCAAAAAACTCGGTAAAAATAAATTTTGGTGCAGTCGAACAGTAGATACACACAATCTGATATTATTAAATGAATATGAAATAAGTCAAGTGGTTATAAAAATGTTACCAAAAAATAGAACATTCATCAGTGAACGAGTTTCAGAACCATCTGCTATCTAATGATGGATTTTTCATCCACTTTAAGCAATATATGACGATATGATACACTATTAAGGCGAAAATCGGGCTGAAACTCTTAACATTTGACATATGAAAACCAAGCTAAGCTGAAGTTCCATTTTTAATGTTATAATTATTGAATTCACTAAGATTTATTGTCAATATACTGAAGATATATCTGCTCTCTTCAACTTTTAGAATTATTTACGTAAAAATCACCAAAAATCCACAAAATATGACAAAAGTTTCTGACTTTTTACAAGCGATCTTAAAATATATACTATACCTATACTTGTATAAGCAAGTATAAACACTTCATATAACACAGACATTTTCTTACAATATTCAGACTTTTTTGCTTTTACGACCAAACTTGAGCTTTATGCATGCTGACAAGTTCATATAACGAAAGATAACTGAAATTTTTACTTTTAGTAGATACATACGAAACGAGCATCATCGTCAAAGTATGTGAAATATATTTATTTTGGCATGCATGAAGTAGAATATGTACTTTAAGTGTGTTTGCCAGCGTCGCTGTAATGGCTGCGTGTAACTTGTTTATATATTCACAGCCATCAACACCAATAAGGCTGTTGTGCATGTGACAAGAGTTGAATATAAAGCACATACGCGCAGCAGCGTCAAAAATACACAAACAACTACAATAAAACATATACTAAGTAAAATATAACGAAAAATATTACTCATACGCCGGGGAGCACCAAACTCATATCGACGACAACGTTCATGCTTTTATTTGGGAGGGCAGAGCGAATATTTACGAAAACGTCAATGAAGAGCAACAACAAAACCGCTAATGTGACAGTGAACAACGAGCCAGACGCAATGACAGGCGCAGCGGAAGAGCTTTTGTTGATTTAAAAAATGAAAGGAGCTGAAATGAAATAAAGTAAAAAGCCACAAACATGACCTCGTTAAATGTCTGACAAGAGCTGGCACATGTGCGCCGCGAATGCGCCTATGCATGCGTGTAAGTATATTATTGCATGAACTCATTTGTGCATGTGCGTGTGCGCATAAGCGACCGCTGTCATTAGGGGCGCTGATGGTTAAATGACATTCAGTCATTCATTCAGTCAGGCAAGCAGTCAAAAATACTCACACAAAAGCTCACAACGATGCACTAACCAAACAATCAGTTCGTCAGACTGTCAGTCAGTCAAGAGTGGAGTATTTACATGCTTCTCAACTGTCAAATTTAGCAAATTTAAATTAATTCTGGTAGTCAGCGTCCACGCACTTACTCACGTGCTTGTAACGATAACGAGATACAAGTAAATATATGTTTACTATATTAACACATATCTGCTGACGTATCATCTACCTTTAGCGAGCGATTTTGAAATAATCGAGTAAAAGACATCTCGCTTATATACTTCTGCAACATGCTGCTACAGAGTATAACAGTTCTGTTCACCTAACGGTTGTTTGTATCACCTAAAAGTAATCGAGTTAGATATAGGGTTATATATATAAATGATCAGTATAAAAAGGCCAGCTGAAATCCGGGTGACTGTCTGTCCGTCCGTCTGTCTTTGCAAACTTGTACTTGATTAAAAATTAAGATATCTTAATGAAACTTGGTACACGTGTTGATTGGCAAAAAAGTAAGCACGACTTTGTAAATAGGCATAATCGGACCGATGCCACGCCTACAAAGCGCCATTATTTAAAAACATATAAAATGCCATCACTAAGCACTAAATCAAGATATAAAATTGTAATTTGGTACAGAAGATTGCAGTAGCAAGGAGGTTTGGTTACTCCCGAACTTAGCCCATTCTTACTTGTTAAAGCATGAATATGATTTTGATGGAAACATTTTTGCATTTGAGCGGAAATTAACGAGAAATAGAGTTTAGGCATTTGAATGGTTCAGGCTATTGAAGATTGGATCCACTTTGCCGGAATATTTTTTTTAAATAGGCTATTCACCGGAGTTGACTCCTCTACACCGATTACTAAAAACGGTAATATAGGAGATTGCACGCTTTTTAAAACTGGTTTAATCTTATATACTGGCATGTGTGAGTAATAGATATACTTACTTGCCGAAATAGAAAGTGCTGTAAACAGCAGCATTCAGACAATATCAGAGATCTCTTGCGCCCTTCTCGCATTATTGCATCAATATGAAGCACGTGAGCATTTTTTTAAAGGTCATTAAACTCATCTATTGACGATTAAAAGTTGACTTCGGATTTAAAATTTAATATTCACCGCCAGCAGATCAAAGGGCGATTATATTATATTATTGTACATACATAGATATTCAAAGCTATCAAAAAGGGATCAGAAGCAAAATATTTGCAAAAACACCTCCAGCAAACAGTGAACGAGTACGATGCATTAATATCAAAATTTTGCTGTGCAGAGCTAGCAAATATGAGACTCTCATTTGCAGCTTGAAATTTTAAAGGTAGGTAGCCACATTAAATTTAATGGCCTGCAGCGAGTAAAAAGTCATTACAACATAAACAATTTTTCGATTTAAGGATAAATTAATAAGGAAGCCATTAAGGAAAATACAGGTGGGTGTTGCCTCGTGGTATTGCTATTTTGTCCACTTAAAAATAATTAAACTTTATATCATTAGGTGAAACATTTGCAAACGAAGTTTAGTCTTCTTCACTTGCGTAATGAGGAAATTATAACGGTAGATAGGAATTTTGGTTTTTGTAAGGTCGAAGGAGAAAGTGACTTATGTATCCAAGTGATGTATAAGTTGTTTAAATATTTGCACCTAAAGATACTTATAATTTTAAAGACAAGTTCAATTCATTGTTTTGTTTTTAATTATGGCTCATACAAACATTAATTTGTAGTTAGATGAATGGCAAAGAAAGTAAATGGAACTGACTAGAGAAATGATCCTGGAAAGTATAGGCTTGGAGGCATGATACGGATGGCGTTCATTCCGAAGGCCGGAAAAAACTCTCATGCCAAGAATTTTAGGTCTATTAGCCTCTCCTCGTTTTTGTTAAAGATGCTGAAGAGGCTTATGGACCTACACATCAGGGACGGTATACCGCGAGACATGATATTAAGGGTTCAGCATGACTGCAGCTAAGGCAGATCGGTAAAAACTGCTTTACACGCCGTCGCGACATGACTGGAGGGCGCCCTCATAAATAAGGAATATGCGGTGGGAACATTTCTCGAAATTGAGGGAACATTCAATAATATGCGGCCGAAAGGGGTCATTAATACTCTAGGGAGGTTTAAGTTCGAATCGAGCCTCAAACATCTCATATATTCTCTTCTCTGTGCCAGAACTGTCAGGGCGATGTGGGGCAGAAAAGGTCAATAGAGGCACCACAGTGCGTGGTATTCTGTCGGGTGATAGCCTATGCAGATGATGTTGCTCCTAGATACCGTCTATGAGCTAACACAATAGTACCCCAATGTGATAGCTAGCTGGGCGGAAAGAAGCGCCCTAGCTGTCAATCAAATCAAACTGAACAGGCTTTATTTACAAGGAGGTATAAAATCCCGAATTAATCCCTTTCCTCATTTTGCTATCATGGAAGCCCAATGTTGAGGAGCGGGTTAGGCAGGCATTGGTTGCCTTATAGTGCTATAGAGGAGTTGTTGAGAAGCGGTGGGAGCTCTCGCCAAGAGCTGTGCCCGTCGACATAGCCGACAAATGCATTGCAGCAAAGTTTGCTATCAGACTCCGGGAAGCCGGACACATTAAGGTTCCTAGAGAGGAACATACCGATATCCTCTCGTACT